AGTGCTGGTGGGAAAGTAAATTGGTGCAGCCCCCATAGAGAGCCACGTGGAGGGTCCTCAAAAACCTAAAAACAGAGCTACCACACAGTCCAGCAGCCCCACTCCTGCGCGTACATCCAGGCAGAATCCCAGTTCAAAAAGATACATGCACCCCATGTTCATAACAGCACTAGTCAGACTAGCCAAGACATGGAAGTAATCTAAATGTCCATCAACAGATGAATGGGTAAAGAAAATATGGTACATATATACAATGGAATACCAGTCAGCCATAAAAAAGAACGAAAAAATGCCATTTGCAGCAATACGGATGGACTCAGGGATTATCATACTAAGTGAAGTCAGGCAGAAAGAGAAAGACAAATATCATATGATACCAGTTACAAGTGTTATTACAGACGAACTTATCTATAAGACAGGAAGAGGATCACAGAGCTAGAGAACAGACTGGCGATTGTCAAGGCGGAGGGCGGTAGGGGAGAGAAGGATCGGGAGTCTGGACTCAGCAGATGCAAACTGTTATAGAGAAAATAGACAACAAGAATCTGATGGAACTGTTCAATATCCTGTGATGAACTCTAACGAGAAAGAAAATGAAAAAGAATATATACGTATAACTAAGTCACTGCTACACAGCTGCAATTAATGTGACGTTGCAAATCAACTCTACGTCAATTTAAAGACAGATTGCCAACAAGGACTTACTTGTTCAGCACAGAGAACTCTGCACGGTATTCTGTGATAACCTACTCGAGAAAAAAAATCTGAAAAAGAATGAATATATGTAGAACCGAGTCGCTTTGCGACCGAATCTAACACAGCATTGTAAACCAACTACCCTCCAATAAAATGTTTCTAAGTGTTAATTTTAAATATAAGCAGGCTCCTGCTTGATCCCTGTGCATTAAATCCGGGTTTCTCGGCCTGAGCCCTGTTGGCATTTGGGGCTGGCCCTTCCTTGTCTGGGGGCTGCCGTGAGCTTAGGAAGAGGTTTAGCCGATTCCCGACTGGAACTCACTCTTCTCAGCTGTGACACCAAAACTGTCTCCAGACATTGCCGGCTGTCCCCTGGGGCACGAAATCACCCCCAGATGAGGAGCGCTGGGCTAGATGGCAACAGACCCCTCTCTGGCTACTATGAGGGGAACGTTTTGTAGGAGAGTTAGTAGTGGAAGGCAGGAGGCTGGTGGGGGGGATGTGGTGGGCTCCAGGCCAGAGCTCATAGCTGTCTATAAGAGCAGGAGACACATGAGTGAACTTGGAATGTGTGTCGGAGGTGGAATCGTGGAAGTTACTGATGCCTAAGAAGTGAGCATGCAAGGGAAAGAGAAGAATCAGAGACGGTCTGTGGCCTGCTGCTGCTGCTACTAAGTCACTTCAGTCGTGTCCAACTCTGTGCGACCCCATAGACGGCAGCCCAGCAGGCTCCCCCATCCCTGGGATTCTCCAGGCAAGAACACTGGAGTGGGTTGCCACTTCCCTCTCCAATGCATGCACGCATGGTAAGTCGCTTCAGTCATGTCTGACTCTGTGTGACCCCATGGACAGCAGCCCACCAGGCTCCTCTGTCCATGGAATTCTCTAAGCAAGAATACTGGAGTGGGTTGCCATGTCCTTCTCCTCTGTGGCCTGAACAACTGGTAACTCTTGGCATCTTTTACTGACATGGAGAAAGACGCAGGAGTGGGTGGGGGGCAGAGTGGGAGGGGGGTGTGTGTTCTGAGGTGGTGTGCCTGCTGAAATCTCTGGAAGATCTGCACGAAGGGAAGAAGGCAGGCAGGCCATCAGCGGTGCAAGTCTGGAGCCCAGGACAGAGGTCACGCTGGAGGCATCGTGTTGAGTCATGGGCACGCAGGTGTTTTTGAAAGCCATGGTCAAGATGAGATTTCTGAGGGAGGGAAGGAGAGGGGAAGGCGGGGTGGAGAAAGCAGGAACGGAGGGAGGAGAACTGGAGTGCAGAGGGCAGACGGGGCCCTGGGCCGAGCGTGGGGTCCACACACTGGGGGGTGGGGGGCGCTCCCAGAAGAGAAGGCAAACCAAGAGATGGAGAAAGAGCGCTCAGTGAGGAAGGAGGGTCCAGAAAAACAGCAAAGGATGTTACAAGGGGCAGGAAGGGCGCTGCTCTGGTTATGCCAGACACACAAGGAGTGAAGAGCAGCTCCCAGAGGCCCGAATAAAAATCTTGTTAGTGTTGAGAGATCCTAGCTCTTTCCTCTCCTCCTATCACTTAAACCACAAATTAAATTACAAAAAAAAGTCAAGGAGACTCGTGATTACATTAAGGCCTTAGGTACCGTTTAGAAGTTTGGAGCCGCTGGCAAAGTTCAGTTGCCATGGAGATCCTGCTACAGCCTTCAGAACCCAGGGCAGAGGAGGGCTGGGGGCCTGGGAGCACCCACAGAGCTCAGTCTCCCACGTGCGGGGTGCGCCCGGGGCCCCAAGGCCCAGCTGGAAACAGGAAGCCAAGTTCTGGGGACCAGTGGGCGAGCCTCACGGGCAGGGGTCCAGGACAGGACTGGGCACCCGGTGGAATTCCCAGCAGGGAAGAGTCTGTCTAGGTGTGGAGACTCTCAGGGTGTGGGCAGGGGGAGGAGAGGTCTGGCAGAGATGCAGAAGCATCCTGAAGCAGGGAAGGCTGCGGCAGGCAGGGGGCCCTCCCTAACAGAGCGCGGCGACCCCAAGGTGTGGGCCCGGGGACGGGGGGAGGGGCAGGGATGAGCCCCTCCCACCTGCTCATCCGCCTCCAGCTGAAGCCAGGGCCAGCTTCTAGGGCAAGTAGAGAAGCCGGGAGCAGATCTACAGGGACGCTGGAGCCCACCCCCTGGACCCGTCTCTGGCCTGATTGCATCTAGCCTAACAGGGAGGACCTGTCCTCTCTTTAGACTGCACAGGATGTCACGCCTCGGTGTCAGTGACTTGAGCAGAAATTTAGCTCGATGGAGCCCTTCTCACCTTGATTTGCCTAGGAAAGAACTACAGAGCCACACCCAGAAAAAGGTTCACAGGGACAACTCAAAGATTATTTTATGCTGCTTCTTTTTTCCCCCAAGTATCTTTCCTGAAACCCTTACTTTCGATTTAGAACCTGAAGCACTGATGCTCTTCCAGTCTGGGAATAGACTTGCCTGAAAACTTAAAGAGAGACATAAAGCAAGTTGTCAAAAAAAACAATGAAATATCATTGCTCCAGGGTGCTAGGCACCAAAACTGTTACCACGTATCTGCCAAAAAGGAAAAAGAGCCTGGAAAACGATCCTCCATCAGCATATTCCACCTCGGAAAAAAATCATTAGCTTCAAACTCGACCATAAATATAGGGGCCCACACATAGTAGGTGAGCCAGCACCTTCTCAGTAATAATGAAGTATTTCCATGACCACTGTCATTGCAGTTGAATTACTTCATATTGATGATCTGTTTTCCATCGAAAGAACCATGGGTGTTGTGGGCACATCACAGCCATTGACCCTTAACTGTGGGCTTTCCTGTCCTAAAGGCTCTTGTGTTAATACCAATGATGACCCCCTTACTCTGAAATATGCTGATTACTGAGTCAGGCAAGGCGATCGGTTACTTGGGTCCTTTGGGTCTTATGACTAATTGTTTAGGTCTCAAGAAGTACCATCTTAGACTTTTGAGTTACTGACGAATCCATTTGTTGGATGCAAACTTGGATCCTGTGGAGGCCTACCTTCTGTTACCCTTCAGTTATAGGTGATCACTACCTACTGGGTGAGCGATTCTGAGAATCTGTACAGTGCCTTATGCATGCATGCACGCTCAGCCACTAAGTCGTGTGTCTGCGACCCCGTGGACTGTGGCCCACCAGGCTCCTCTGTCCATGGAGCCTTCCAAGCAAGAATGCTGGAGTGGGTTGTCATTTCCTCCTCCAGGGGCTCTTCCTGACCCGGGGATGGAACCCAGGCTCCTTGTCACCTGCACTGGCAGGGTGATTCTTTACCGCTGAGCCACATTATAGCTACCTCTGAAGTCTCTGACTATGCATGAACATGCACACGTATGCTGGGACACATGCACCAGGATCAAAAGTGATGTCCTGTTTGTGATCAGCCTCAGTCATTTAGCCGTATCGTCGGGGTTGGGGCAGAGGTTCGTTTGTTTGTTTGGAGTGAGACTGATTAAAAGAATGGGCTCCAAAGTTAGACTCCCAGGATTCAGCTTCCACCAACCATTTATCAGCTGCATGGCCCTGAGGAACATCCCAGAGCTTCCCTGTGGATCCATTTCCTAGCTGTGGAATGCGGGTGTCACCTCTGCCTCTCTGGGATGAATAGGGCACAGGGGAGTTAATCCACGCAAAGCCCTCAAAACCTCACCTTTATTTTACGGCAGATTTAACGTATTGTTCTGTTTAGGAAAACTACTGATACGAGCCATTGTGATTTACTTGTGTAGAATCAACCACATCAAGGCCCATTTTTCTCATCTCACTTTGGAGGTCTTGCCTGTCATATACCTCCCTGTCAACCACCCAGAAACACGGCAGGGGCTCTGTGAAAGCTTGTGTGGGCTCCATACAGTCCAGCAAGACACGACTCCAGTTTGTCTCAAAATGTCATCTTCTCTTAGTGTAGAAAGACACTGAAGAACAGGAAGATTTTGCCTCCGTGACTGAATTACCAACCCTTACAGCCCCAGATACAACCCTGTCTTTTTCTTTCCTTTGGTTGAAGTCTGGTTGATTTATAATGTTGTGTTAGTTTCAAGCGTACAACAAAGTGATTCCGTTATACATATACACGTATCTGTTCTTTTCCAAGCTCCTTTCCCGTTTAGCTTATTGCAGAATATTGAGTGGGGTTCCCTGTGCTATACAACAGGTCCTTTTGATTATTTATTTTATGTGTGAGTGAAAGTGTTAGTCGCTCAGTTGCATCTGACTTTGTACTCCACAGACTGTAGCCTGCTAGGCTCCTCTGTGTATGGAATTCTCCAGGCATGAATACTGGAGTGGGCATCCATTCCCTTCTCCAGAAGATCTTCCTAACCCAGGGATTGAACCTGGGTCACCCGCATTGCAGGCGGATACTCTACCATCTGAGCCATCAGGGAAGCCCCATTTAAAAACGTATTTTACTTTATGTATGGTCGTGTGTATATGTTAATCCCAAACTCCTAACTTATCCTGTCCCCCTCCAGCTTTCCACTTTGGTAACCGTAAGTGTGTTTTCTAAATCTGTGAGCCTGTTTCTATTTTGTAAATACATTCATTTGTATCATTTTTTTTGGATGCAGAATCTCTAACCTTGTCTTTGCATCACCTTGTAATCCATGTCTTGCCCTAAAACAGAAGTCCTCCTGGGAGGCTCAACAGTGCACCTGCTGTTCCTAAGTAGCGCGTTTTTTCATCTGAAACAGGCTTTTGCCGACAGATGTGTGACAGTGCGCCTACCTATGCTATTCCAAGTCACCCCAACAGCTGTGGACAGCCACAAACCACACCCTTTCTTTTCACTCGACATTAATAGACACGGATTCCCCTGCTCCCAGTGCTACCTATGTGTGACGATGTCAGTCTGTCCCAAGGACTGCTGGACTCATTGCATCCATGTGGGTTCCCACACCCCTGGCGGGCTCCCACACTCCGACACAAATACCGAAGTCATGCGCATCTGAACTTCCATTTCCTTCCAGAGGAAATGAGAGCTCCCAGGGTGTGATTCCTTAGGCATGGGTCCCGTTTCCAACTTCTCACGGCCCCCAGGGCCCACCCAGCGCACCCTGTGGTGGCCGGGTGGGCTCATTTCACAACCATGAAAAATGCCTCGTGCTTCTTCTGTGTAATCTTTCAATCCATTATGTTAGCTCATTTTTTTTTTTTTCAGTGTTGCTTGAGAAATACTAAGTGATGAATAACCCGTCTGGCTTTGGCTTTTGCTTTCCCTGGCTTGAAGAGAAATAATGTGACCTACAGATGTTTGGACAAATAGTACACTGTGTGAATGACAGATTCCGCTCAGACATGCCCCGTGCAATTGAGCTTATCAGCACTGAAAGAACAGGTATTCCTGGACTTTGTGTAATTGTCTTTTCTTTCCTTTCCTCGTTAGACTGAATACCAGCCGTACTGAAAAGGGGACTGGACACAATAGTGTTCAGGGTGGTACACTGCTGTGTCCTCTGCAAGGCAGACAGGGGAGAAGTGTGCAGATGGGCTTGCCTGGGGGTCAGATCAACAGTCCCAACAGAACAGAAGCATTCTTACCTGCTAGGCGTGTGATGGCCCTGTGTAGGACAGATATCTCTTAGTAGAAATTACTTTTCTATTTTTTACTTACAGCATGGTAATAGGAAATAAGGCTCCTTAAGCAGGTAAAAATTACCAGCCAGAGTTAATTAAGTCATCCTTTATGTAGTATGTAGTTTCATTAAAATAGGTGATTGATGATAACTGAAACTCTCTGGGCTTGTTTCTGTAAAAGTTTTAGTTGGGATTGTAAAGGGAAAGAGAGGAGACAGAATTTCCAAATTGGGTCACGTTCCCTAGAAAAGAAAATTCCAGCACGGCTGGAATCACCTGTGAGAGGAGTGGGGCTAAATTTAGAACCTGCCCTGTGGGACCGGCAGGGACCTTCTCACTTTCTCAGCGTGCCGAGCTGGCCGTGGGGAGGAGCCACCCAAGGGTTCAGTCTCACGGCTCTTCCGTAGCCCAGTGACAGCCAGAGCCCACGCCTTAATCTGAGATTCTTGTCTTTTTCCCACCGCCTCTTCCTGGGCATGGGGTTTCTTTTAATTACCTTTTATTGGAGTGTAGTTGCCTTTCACTGTTGTGTTGATTCCTGCCGCAGAGCAGAGGGGACCCGCCGTACATACACACGACCCCTGCTTTCTGAGCTTCCAGATTCTTCGCTCGGCGCAGAGCACGGGGCAGACCTCCTTGTGCTGCTCAGCAGGGTCTCACTGAAGGGCTTCCCTGGGGTCTCAGACAGCAAGGAATCCGCCCGCAGTGCAGGAGACCCGGGTTCAGAGGTTCTCAGTAGTTGTGTCTTTTATGCAGAGTGGCTCAGTGGTAATAATTTGCCTGCTAATGCAGGAGACGTGGGAGATGTGGGTTCTATTCCTTAGATTAAGAAGATCCCCTGGAGGAGGAAATGGCAGCCCACTCCAGTGTTCTTGCCTGGAAAACCCCATGGAGGAGCCTAGCGGGCTGCAGTCCATGGGGTCACAAAGAGTCAGACATGACTTAGCAACCAAACAACAGCAATCAACGGTGTTTGTAAGTCAGTCCCAATCTCCCAACACCTCCCACTCGCCCTTCCCCTTAGCATCCATCCATTTGTTCTCTGCGTCTTTGCTTCTACTTCTGCTTTGCAAATAGGGTCATCTGTACCACTTTTCTAGATCCCACATATATGCATTAAAATCCGATATTTGTGTTTCTCTTTGTGACTTCACTCTTCATGACACTCTCTCCAGGTCCATCCACATCTCTATGGTCACAGGTATTTTGTTGTTAAACACACACTAGACATAGGGAGTGAAATGTGGCAGTTCAGGTGAGAAACAAGAACGTGTCAGCCGTCAAAGTTACACTTTTCATCTCTGCAGAAGAGAGATAGCTGCAAAGAATGTGGTCTTAACAGTGACAATGAAAATGAATCTTATGGGAAGTTGCAAAATCACCACACTGCATTAGCACAAGACGCCGGCACGCACGCACAAGGGCCCTTTGCAGATGGCTTGCAGGGACTGCGTTTATGGAGGCACTCTGGGGAACAGATGGGACCCGCGGCGTCCCAGGGCAGATGGGGATTTACAGCGTCTGCATCACAAGCCAGAGCAGCTCCCTGCTATCTGTGGGAAGCCATGCAGTGTCTCTGGACTTGAGTCCCTAAAGAAACCTGTCCCCAGTGACCCCTGCAAAGCATGGTTAGTGGGTATTTGATGTCAACCAAAGATCCATTTTATTTGGGCTTTTTCATTTTCTGAGCTTCCCTGATAGCTCAGTTGGTAAAGAATCCACCTGCAATGCAGGAGACCTCGGTTCGGTTCCTGGGTTGGGAAGCTCTGCATGGACTGTATAGTCCACGGGGTTGCAAAGAGTAGGACCCAACTGAGTGACTTTCACTCACTAAAGACCCATTTTATATGAAGGAAGCATGCTTATGTCCCGGAAAGCTAGAAGATGAAGGGAAAACACACATTAATCCAAATGTTCTTTCTCTGCTGTTGTCGTGAACCTGATGTAGACAGTTTTTGTTTTCCTTCCAACTTCTATGATTAGTGTTTATGGTACCCCACCCCCTGATTTATGTGTCCATCCCCCAGATATTTTAAGTTCTTGAGATCAAAGAATGAATTAAAGGAAAGAAAGAAATTGCTCAGTCATGTCTGACTCTTTGCTACCCCATGGACTGTATAGCCTAACAGGCTCCTTTGTCCATGGACTTCTCCAGGCCAGAATACTGGAATGGTTTGCCATTTCCTTCTCCAGTGGATCTTCCCGACCCAAGGATCGAACCCAAGTCTCCCGCATTGCAGGCAGACACGTTACCCTCTGAGCCACCAGGGAAGCCCAAGAATAGGTAACTTAACTGCTAATAGGTAACTTCAGGGTCTTTAGTCTGTAAAATACTGATAAGAATGTGTGTCTTGGTTCCTCATAAGGTAGTTTTTCAGCATCTCATAAAGAAGCTATCAGAGGAGATAGCTGCTCGGGAGAAAGCAGTCCACACGCGCTATCAGACAAAAGCGATCAATGAGATGAACACCGCGGCTGTTACGTGAGTGTAGGGTGTCCGCGTGTGACGGCATCTTCCCTAATTATTTAGGATCGCTTGTAAAATTGATTTTGTGTAAACACAACGCTCAGCGCAGCCTGGCCCTCACAGGCAGCACAGGTTGCCGGGGATTTACTGGCCTGTCGCTCCCGTGTTCCTTCACTCCCATTTAACGTTCTGTTCGGATGGCCTCCATGTGTGCCAACTCCCCCAGCTGCTGCCAGCACCAGGCATTGACAGGGAGCTGCCAAGAGATAAAATAGACCCCTCACACCAGAACCCGCCAGGCCACAGAGCAGCCCTTCTCTGGGCGAACACAGGGTTTCCTCCGGAGCGGGGATGGGAAGTGAGGGATCTCTGTCCTTGCTACTGTTTCCTGAACATGGAAAGCATAGCAAAGGCTAGACCCAGACCTGGTTCTGGGCCCTAGTTTTCCATTTTCCTGGCTATATTCTTGCAGGAAAGGGGACCCCTTCCAGGGACCGAAACTGGGTTCTTGTCTAACACTCGGAAGTGAATTGTCCGAGGAGACACATCTGCTGACAAACCAAGAGATTTTATTGGGAAAGGGCGCCAGGGCAGAGAGGAGGGGGGTGAGGGAACCCAGGAGAACGGTTCTGTCAAATGGCTCGCAGTCTCGGGCTTTATGATCGTGGGATTAGCTTCCGGGTTGTCCTTAGCCGATCATTCTCACTCAGAGTCCTTCCTGGTGGTGCAGCCTTGTTCAGCCAAGATGGACGCCCGAGAGGAGGATTCTGGGAGGTGGGCGGACCTTTTGACCTTTCCCAAACTCTTCTGGTTCATTTCAGTTCAGTCGCTCAGTCGTGTCCGACTCTTTGTGACCCCGTGAACCGCAGCACGTCAGACCTCCCTGTCCATCACCAACTCTCAGAGTTTACCCAAACTCATATCCATTGAGTCGGTGATGCCATCCAGCCATCTCATCCTCTGTCGTCCCCTTCTCCTCCTGCCCTCAATCTTTCCCAGCATCAGGGTCTTTTCCAATGAGTCAGTTCTTCACATCAGGTGGCCAAAGTGCTGGAGTTTCAGCTTCAGCATCAGTCCTTCCAATGAACACCCAAGACTGATCTCCTTTAGGATGGACTGGTTGGATCTCCTTGCAGGCCTAGGGACTCTTCCGGTTGGTGGAGGCTTATTAGTTCCCTGTTCCTTACCAGGACCTCCTGTCGTAAAACAACTCATGCAAATGATCACTATGGTGCCTGGCCAGGGTGGGCGGATTCAGTCAGTGTGCTTCCCCTAACACTATGGCCATGGGTCTCAAAGATCGCATCCCGGAGCTTCAGGCAGGTCAGCGGTAAGATAGGGAAA